GTTTAGGATTTGGGGTTTAGGGCGTAGGATGTAGGGTTTCGGGTTGAAGGCTTTAAGGGCAGCTTGGGGCAGATTCTTCTCCGCTTCTTCATTCACCTCACAGGGCCGCGGCCGCGTTGTGAACCGTCACGGCAACGCTGGCCTGAATTCCAAGATCTCCCCCCAAAATGCCCAGCAGGGTTTAGGGTTTAGGGTTTGGGGTTTAGGGTTTGGGGTTTAGGGTTTAGGGTTTAGGGTTTAGGGTTTAGGGTTTAGGGTTTAGGGTTTAGGGTTTAGGGTTTAGGGTTTAGGGTTCCCGAATATCCCTAAACCTACGCCCCTGAACCCGAAACCCTACACACCCTAAACACTATAACAGAGTAAGGTCCCCCGCTAGGACCTCTCCAGCCTCAACACCCCGTTTGCAAGTTTTATGGGCCTGGGCGGCGAATGCTTGGTTTGAGGATGGGGTTTGGGGTTGGGCGTTGGGGGTTTGGGGTTTGGGGGTTTTGGGGTTATTGCGGCGCTAAGCCCTGTGAAGATTCCAGTGCTAGGGCCCAGGTTGCGGATTGAAGGTAGGAGGAACCTCGCCCCGTAGCCCTAAACCCTAAGCCCTAAACCCTAAACCGCGGTGCACAAAGCCCCAAACTCGAAAACTGTAAAGGTTTCAGGTTCCGGGCCGACATGTTTTCAAGCCCTGCCAAGGAAGGCACGCCAGCATCGATCTCGCGTTGGAGAAGCGGCCGCACTCGAACAGCCACCTGCAAGGAAGGATTTTTTTTATTCAAGGCTTAGGGTACAAACTCGAAACCTCAAACCCCAACCGCAGGCCCAGAACCTGAAGCTTGAAACCTAAACCTGAAGTCCTGCTAAGGTTTTATGGCCTGGTTTGAAAAAGCGCAAGAAGGAATCCCACGACGCGGCTATGAGCTGCAAGAAACAGAGTCCCCCCAAAGCACTTCAACTTGCGGTGCTGGGGCACTGGGGTTCTAGCGGGCAAAGACTCCCAGCAGTTTTTTGGTGTGTGCTTCGCATCATGATGGCCGCTTGAAGCCGAGGCGCTTATGCAGCCCTAAACCCTAAACCCTAAACCCTAAACCCTAAACCCTAAACCCTAAACCCCAAACCCTAAACCCCAAACCCCAAACCCTAAACCCTAAACCCTAAACCCAAAACTCGAACCACTTCGGCTTGTGACCACAGGGAACGCGACAGGCTGCGGCCTTGATTGTTTCCGCCATTCCGAAGCCACTAAACCTCAGCAGATCTTGCAGGCACAGTCGGACGCCTTCCGTGCTTCGTGAGGGTTAGGGTTGAGGGGTTTAGGGGTTCAGGGTTTAGGGGGTTTAGGGTTTAGGGCTTTGGATTTGGGAGGCTTAGGGGGTTTAGGGGGTTTAAGGGGTTTAGGGTTTTTAGGGTTTAGGGTTTAGGGTCACCTCATGGCGGAAACTGCGCAATGCAACTGCGCACACCATGCAGCAAACCCTGTGACGCTCAAACCTGAGCAGCCAAGCAGCCTAGATCATGCCATGA